GTAAGCCGAGTGATTTGCCTAATGTTACCTACTTGGTGCTCAGTAAATAATTTTTTTTGAATTGTTGAATATAAAGCAATTATTTCTGAACAATTTAAAGAATCTTTAATAAAGAATCACCTGTGTAAATTTTGAGTTTAGTATGTGTCTTTGCTTGACTGAATGATTAGAAATGGATTTGATAAGTTACTATGTCACTAAAACAACCTGATATTTGATCTTCCTTGGGTTGACTGTTTTCACCCAAATGAGAAAATTTAGCAACAACAGAAGTGTGGCCTCAGGTCTTGCGGTGGAGTCTCTAACAAACTATGGGCAACTAGAAACAGGCAGAATAGGCCTGCTCCTGGTCTAAAAGGCACAATTCACTGGAGAAGCTGTTGATCTCAACTGTTAGACCTCAGCCATTGTTCTCAATCTGGCGTAGAATTAATCCCTTAAGAAAGGGATGAAAAAAATGCTACTCAGCACAACATAGTTTGTCATTGCATGCATAATGCAGACTTTCCAATTAGAATGCTACAATTTGGAAACTTTCTTCACAGACTGATGAGAGAGCAATTATTTTAAGAAGGGAAAACTCAGTCCACTGGGTTTGCCTGGAGTCACTTCTGACTCAAGCTGCAAAGACAAGAGTTTTGAAATCATATTCACTATTGAATTTTGTATCAAAACACCAGCAAGGAGAGCAATTAGTTGCTGTAAACTGAACCCCTGGTAATCAATGGTATGCAGCCAGCCAGAGCATTTATGGAAGATGTAAGCAAAATCACATCTGCTAATCAATTTTCAAAATCCCAGCACTCCACTGCTTTTAGGGAAACTCCACAATAAGAACAAGGGAAGATAAAGGAGACAACAGTTAACATCACCAAGCATTTCATGCAGTGCTCGTTAGACAGATTTGTGGCAACAGCTAAATACAGACCCAGCCTACATCAGATCATGGCCAATGGCTTCCTTTATTCAGCCCCTGTGGAAATGGCTGCTGCTGAATGCGTGGAGATGTGTGGATGTGGGAGGGGGAGGTATGTTTAAGGAGCTCATCTCAGTTAAGGTCATGAGTCATGTCTGTCCTCGGCGATCTCACTCTGCAAACATTCCCAGCCAGATTACAAGTCAGAAATGTCCCTATGTTGCTGCAAGTGCAAAGACATAGGAATAGGCTTTGTGGCAGGGAAAGAAGTAAAGGGAGTTGGTGGGCTTTTCACTTGTGCCTTATTGGAACCAAATTCCTCTCCATGGAAAAAGGGAGATTGAGTTAATTTTTCCTTTAGTGTCCTTAAAATACACTAGCTTTTTCAGTTGAACCAACTAAACTATTTTAATTCCTGGTGAACCCTAAATTCTAAGCAAATACGCCTCCTGGCACATGAATCAGAATCCTTAAAACTCCACAGTGTAAGTCTGAGCCCTCGCCTTGATAACCTGAGGCCCATCAGTGTCCCTTTTCCACTCAGGAGTCAGGTGACCCCATGTTCCAGCCCCCAGGGGCTCCTAATAGAGGAATAGAAAGGAGATGTCTCATCCAGTATGTGCACTTGGCTGCTGTTCAGAAGAAAAGAATTTAGGCCAGGAGAAATTATTGAAGTAAAGATCGATAGACTTGGGCTAATAAAAATTAATATCTTCAGCATGCAGACACTGATAGGCAGTGAATTAACATCCTTTAGATACAGAGGACATTTTGTAAGTCATTAACAAAAGGATAAATATAAGTAGAACATGGGTAAAATGTTCAAGTTCCATGGTAAGTAAAAACCTGCAAATTAATGAAATATATGTCATCTATCAAATTAACAACATTTGTAACTTTTTTTCCTCCTTTCTGCTCCCCTCCCCTCCTCTCCTCTCCCTTTCTCTTCTCTTTTCAGTCCTAGGGATCAAAACCAGGGCCATACACTTGCTAGGCAAGCACTCTACCACCCATATCCCCAGCCCTTTTTAAGGTTTTATTTTGAGACAAAGTCTCACTATGTTACCCAGTCTAGACTTGAACTTGTGGGTTCTCCTGGCTCAGCCTCTTGAGTAACTGGAGTTAAAGGCTTATGTCACCTCCCCAGGCCCAGTGTATTTTAAGATAATGGATAACATTGGTGACAGTGCACAGAAATAGGCATTTATTTATTTCTGCTGGTAGTGTGATATAACTTGTTTCAATTTTTTTGGAAGGATGGGGAAAACAGATATACAGCTGTTTTACCAAAGCCCCAAAATGTTTGTACGCCCTGCTTTATGAGTTTTACTTAGACTTTCAAAGGCAATAATCATAGCTTTAGCTAAAAATGTTCATCAAAAATTTCACTAAATATTACTGATTGTACACTAAATTTTCACTAAATATTATCCATTGGACACCTAATATGTCTACTGATGAGACTGATTAAAGGATCCATACAGTGAAATGCTATGAAGTAAGTCAATAGATGCAACGTAGAACATTTGATAATGCAAAAAGATCTTCATAATAGATCATTAAACAAAATAAGCAAGTTACAAACCATAGGCATTGTGTGTGTGTTTATAACAATACTGGAATTACAGATGATCTTTATTTTAACTAATAATTTCCTTAAAACAAATTGGAGAACTTTATAGAATAAGCTATTTGTAGAGCATGTGAAGCACAACTTTACAAACTCTTTTCTTTTAATTTAAAAAAATTTTTTTTCAAACTCTTGAAATGTGCTCTCTTAAGAATCTCTGCTAGGTCATTTATGATACTCATAATTGGTTGTCCATTTTAATCTGTTCTGTATCCCACGTCTTCAAGGCAGTCGTTTCCTATAAAATATTTTAAGGTCTGGTTAGGATCTATCTCAAAAGGGACTGATTGTGTTCATTTTGATACCTTCTAGAAACACTAAGTTGCCTGGCTTGCAAGCACAAGGACCCGAGTTCAATCCCTGGTACCAAAAAAAAGAAAGATAGAAACACTAACTCATGATTATCTGGAAAGATAGAGGTTTGACATCTGCGACTCTTATAAATAATTCAGAATCTGAATGGAGAAAATAGCCTCAACAGTGTCTCCCAGCAAACCTGTTGCCAGAGCTATTAAATGAAGAGAATAATTAATTTGAAATCTTTTCCTAGTTTTGATAGTAATCATGTATTACCACATAGCTAGCAGAACTACAGTTGAAAACAGAACTAAGGGGAAAGAGGAACACAGGGGGAATGGTAATCCTCAACAGTAGGTTGGTGACACTAAGCTGACTTGTGCAAAGAATTTCCAGTGATTATAATTGCAGGATTAAGGGAAAATAATTCAGACTTACTTTTATACAGTAATAGGTTTCAGGTTGAAAATTACGACCCAGATACATAAACTGGCAGTAAAGGAAACACTTGGCATTGGGTTTACAGAAGTGGATTTGGAGTCAGGATGGTAAGTTGGAATCCTGTATCACTCACTCACTGAGTTAATCTCAGTCATCATCTATAATTTGATGGGGCTAAATAGTACTTGCTAATAGGATATTTAAAAGGATTTAGGGCCTGACACACAACATTGAAGAAGTGTAGGGTATCATACTCATTATTACACTTGTTGCAAAGAATGTATTTGCCCAGCAGACATTCACTGAGTGTAAGTGTGCCAAGTACTGAGTATGGAAAAGGACATGGTATAGAAAGTATGGAAAAGGTTCGACATGGGCACTGACTTAGAAGGCTCACAGTTCTAGCTGACAGAGAAAGCAAATGCATGTGATCGATATGAGACAATAAGATTCTGCACATATCTTGTACAGAAAGAACTTTTAAGGCTGAAATCATGGGAAAAAATGATACTGCCTCTGTGGCACTGTATGAAGCAAAATATAGATCCTGTATTGCAATGCTCAGGGTTTTTTAAAATTATTTTTTAAATGAGTGCACAAATCATGTAGAGTGCACAGATTTATGTATAACTTGGTGATTATTTGCATGTGTATATGTCCATGTAACGACCACTCAGGATGAAAATTAGCAGTTTTGCAATTCAAGAATGTTCCCTCACACCATTTCCCTATCAGTACCTTCCCCAAAGGTAGCCACTATTCTGAAACCAATAGATAAGTGTTGGCTTTAGGCTTCATGTAAATGGAATCACATAATCAATGCTTAAATTCTTACTGGCAGAAAAGGGGAATAAGAATAGGATCAAGATATGAGTTGCTAAATACTGAATAAGAAAGTTTACTAAATATGTTGGCCTATACAATTGACCCTCTCTTATGTGTGTGTTCTGCATCTGGATCTCACCTAATCAAAAGTTTTAGAAAGTGTTTTTGTGTGTACTAAACATGTACAGACCTTTTCTTGTTGCTATCTCCTTAAATTATAATAACCACATGGCATTTACTTTGTATTACATATTATATGTAGCCTACAGATGATCTGAAGTATACAGGAGGAGATATATATATATATATAGGTTATATACGCTCTGTATAAGGGACCTGAGTATCTGAAAATTTTGAGGGGTCCTGAACCAATCTCCCATGGATACTGAAGGATGACTGTATCTCCAAATCAGATAATTTACCAAAGTTATGCAAAAATTCTAGAGAGAAGGAACCTAAAACATGATAAATGAAGGTCCTGCTCATTATTACCAGTTAGAAAGCACAAACTCCTCTATGAGGAGTAGTCTCCGGTACATCACCTTTCATCAGCCCTGCCACCTGGAGATGAGAGCTGTGGAAATCAGGAAAGAACATGGGGACCTTAGTCCCTCCTGATCCAGCCTGGAGAACTTGGCTACTAGGAGGACAGAGGCTGCTGAAGTTGGGTGACTGGTGAACTAATCTGAAGAGATGAGCTGCATATTGACTTCAGCTATTCTCTTTAAAACTTCTGTTGGGATTTGCTTGCTTTCTCCAGACCTGGAAGTGTGTTAGGGCAAAAGAAGCAGGTGGGAGGGGTGACGTAGACATAGACACCCCCAAACTTTGTGTCTGTAGCCTTGTGCCAGTTGGAACACTTACAGATATCATGTTTTTCTGTCTGTTCAGATTATTACTTTGGGACTGTGATGATCGAAGCTATAGCTACTATGTTGAAGTTTCTACCAACCAGCAGCAGTGGACCATGGTGGCTGACAGAACAAAAATCTCCTGCAAGTAAGTCAAGCCCTGTCAGGGCTTTATTCTAATTGCAAAGGCAGTCTTCCTGGTGGGTTCAGAGGTTCCAAACAGTGAAAGTTCATGGAGCCACCAAATTAAATTCTTACCTGAAGGTTGAAAACATATTCCAGTGCTGCTTGAGTTTTGACTATTAAGTACTTACATGAGAATTTACTTCATGCTACCAAATAATCTTTATCTTATGATTTGAACTTGATTCACACCATTGAAAATGACAGCTGTATCTGAAAAGAGAAAAGAAAGATGCTTTATGTAGTTCTTTCTCAAACCCTTCCCACATCACACACTGCCCTCAAGGAATTTTTTCTATTCTTAAAGAGTTTTCTTGAAGTGATATTCTGAGGCTCTGTATTACTCCCGACCCTCATACCATTCTTAGAGTTAGCTAAAAACTTATCTCATCTGAGTTTTAGTGACACTCTGACCTAAATGAAGGAAAACCTTGTGCCTTAGGTTCTTCTTAGCCAGACAGGGACATTTATTGCATTTGGCACTAGAGATCTGTTTGACCCTACCTAAGTGTAGGAACGGCTGGAAGGAAGGGTTCTGTGGGTTCTGACTAGCCTAGAATTATGGTACTTTAAAAGAACTCAGTGCGTTTTTGTATAGAGTCAGATTCTCAGAGGGGCAAGACAGAGCTAATAGCTGAGATTTCCTTTTCTTTTGGAAATTAAGATTTTATGTTAGATTTCCATTACTGTGACAAAACACCTGAGAAAATCAACTTATAAAGAAGAGAGGTTTGTTTTGGCTCACAATTTCAGATACTGCTGTCCATGGTCTTTTGGCCCTGTTGCTTTGTGCCTATAGTGGCATGGTCCATCATGGCAGGAGCATGTGAGAGAGGAGGTCTACTCACCTCAAGGCAGCTGGAAAGCATAAAGAAACAAAGGAAGCACATGGGGTTCCAGTGTGCCCTTCAAGGGTATCCTCAGTACCCTAACTTACTCCTCATAGGTGGCCCTACCTCCTACAAGGCCCAACATTACCCAGTTAGCACCGTAGTCTGGCAACCAGGCCTTCATTCATCACAAGGGCCTTTGGCTGGGGGGCATGACAGATTCACATACCATAAATCCACCCTTTTGGCACACTCACAGAGTTGTATGACTGTCTAATGTTCCAGAATACTTTCCTCACCCCAAAAAGATATCTTCTCTACATTAGCAGCCCCTCCAACTTCCTCAGCCCCGACATGTACTTACCTACTTTGTTGTATGGATTTTCTTGTTATGGACGTTCATAGAAATAAAATCATATACTATGTGACCTTTTAGTTCTAGCTTCTTCCACTTGGAATAATGTTTTCCAGGCCCATCCATCAGAATTTCATTCCTTTTTATGGATGAATAGTATTCCGCTGAATGACCACTTTTTTTTGGTAACGGGGATTGAACTCAGGACCTTATGCTTTTAAGGCAGGCGGCAGCACCACTGAGCTAAATCCCTGGCCCTATGACCACTTTTTAATCCATTCATCAGTTGATAAACGTTTGAATTATTTCCACTTTTTGGCTATTGCAAATAATGTTGCTATGAACATTTATATACCTATTTTTTATCTGAACATACTTTTTCAGTTCTCTTGGGTGTATACCTTGTACTAGAATTTCTCAGTCATATGGTAACTGTGTTTAACTTTTTGAAGCATTGCCAGACTTTCCCATAGCAGCTATACCACTTTGCACTCCTACCTGCAACATGTGAGGGGTCCAGCTTCTCACATTATCTGCCCATCTTTTTCATCACAGCCGTCCTAGTGGGTGTGCAGTGGCATATCACTGTAGACTTGACCTGCATTTCTGTGATGGCTATGATGTTGAACATCTTATCATGAGCTTATTTTGCCAAGAATTCTTAATAACACTGATGGCTTATTGGATGCAGAGTTTGACATCATCACCACCACTACAATAATTTTCAACAGCATGTTTGTATCGATTAGGTAACACTTGCTGTTGTAACAGTCTTCAGTACTTCAGTGGCTTAGCACAAGAGTGTGTGTCTCCATCATGTAACATTGTGAGCATTCCCTTCCCCTTCCCCATAGCTGAATGAGGAACCCATGCAACTTCCTTCCCATCATTCCACTGTCACTTAAGGCCTCATCAGTATAATCTGCAACTCACTGGCAGGTTGGAAAAGAAAAGAGAGAACTTACACTTGGTTCTGAAAAGCATTTGGTTCTGGCCTAGGTATAGTATACATCTTGCCATTCACAGACCTCTGGGAATAGCTGGTCACATTGCCACACTATGGGACAGGGTGGCTGGGAGATGTCGCCAGTTCCTGGCTGAGTAGCCAGTTCTCAGTGAAGCTTAAATCTTCTGGTCACCACTGCCAGGAGTGTAAGAAAACTAAGAATCATTTCCTAACTTGTATTCTCGTACTTTCATCTACTTAATCTCATTTTGTCTGAATACAAAGCCCCTTGTGGGATATTGTCCTAATTTTATGAAAAAAAAAAAAAAAAGATGAAACTCAGAGAGGTTAAGTATCTTTTCCAAGGGGCAGAGCCAAAATGTAAGTGTGGGGCTCTTTCCAGTGTCTCACATTGCCTCCCAGTACCCACAGCATTGCTGAAGAGCATCCGAGCCAAGCCAGGTGACGAAATGGGGGAATAAAGTGTGGACTAATCCCCAGACACCTGGAACCCTTTATGCAGTCAGAAGGCTTCAAAGCCCATAAGCAAACGGGCAGCCATATTTCTTTCCAGAATCTTTGCTTATCGAGTGTGCAGCCCCAGACCAGACCTGTGCTTCCTCAAAGCTTGCTGTCTTTGGCGTGTCCTGGCCATGCCTTCTGCCATTTGTCTGTATTAAGGGTTTCCTCATCTCCTTCATGTCCCTCTGTTGAAACTGCTGTAAAAAGGTGCTTTTTAGGCCGGGGATTTAGCTCAGTGGTTTCGTCACCTGCTGCACAAACGCAGGGACCCGAGTTCGATCCCTGGTACCAACAAAAGGTGCTTTTTAAACAAGAGCTGGTTTACTAACTATTGACCAGGTATGTATCAGAATGATTTTTGTATTTTTTTTATTCTGTTTAAAATTCAAAAACCCACTCACTCATTAGATCCTCTCTCAGTGGCTTTGCATTGTTACCAACGTCTTTTTTAGTTTGTTTCTATTCATTGATGGATATAAATAATTTATGTTTTTAACTTTGTGTTTTAGCACCTAGATGCTGTAGCAGTAATAAATATATTAATTACAAATAAATGAATGAGCAATACTTTAGAAAACAAGAATAGTAAAAAGGCAAGTACCACTTAACCCGGAAAGAATCACAGGGACAACAGGTGATTTTACATCTATGGGCCTAACCCAAATGTATTGTACCTCCCACTTCCAAGTTAGGCCACAGGAGATGATATGCAAATGATAAAAGAAAAGTTTCCTTCTTAACCAGTACACTCCGGAGCAGACCTCAAGAGAGGATTCTGTAAGCTTTAAGAATTGTAGTCTGGGGCCGGGGATTTACCTCAGCGGTTTCACCACCTGCTGTGCAAGCTCAAGGACCCAAGTTCGATCCCCGATACCAAAAAAAAAAAATTGTAGTCCCCCCCCCCAACAAAAAAGAATTGTAGTCCATTCTTTATTGAAATGAGAATCATGCTACAGATTACATGGATCTTTAGAGCTCCACTTCTGCCTTGTGCCAGTGTTCTACCTTGGCAGGATGTGGAGCAGATTTCTTCTGTTCCCTGAAACATCCTCAGGGAATGAGCTGCCCCAGAGTCTCTCTCAGCCTCTCAGCCTCTGGGTTGTGTGTGGGGTGCAGTCATTGCTTTCCCTTCTAGCTCTCTTCAGTCCTTTTAGCTGTACTTGGAGCCTTATTTCAGAAGACCTCACTTTGCAATCATTGATTCCTTTTCTCTGCTGTCCTCGAAATTGTTGAACTCTAAATCTGTTTATTAAAATCAGCTTTTGCATTATAAATATAATGAAAATTTAATACATAACCACACCAGGCATAGTGTTATACACCTGTAATCCCAGCACTCAGGAGGCTGAGGCAGGAGCATCACCAGGAGTTGGAGGCCAGCTTGGGGCACATAGTGAGACCTTGTCTCAAAAAAAAAAAAAGTAAAAGGTAAAATTTTACCTTCTCATCTTCTGTTCTACTCCTCAGAGCTAACTACTTTTGACTTTTTTCGAGTTTTTGTAACTTCTCATCTATAAATAATATTGTATTCCTCTATTAATTATCAGCTATACTGTCTTTTAAAATTGAGAAATTTAGCTCACTTTAACCACTCATTTTTGTTAGTTGTTTTTCATTTCAGTTCTGCTACTATTTATCTTTTAAAATTAAACAATATACTTAAACATCTATTTTTTTTTTGTCTGTTAGTCATGGATAGAATTTCTTGACTTCCCACTGTGGTGGTAAAGAAATTATCACCCCATCTTTCCTCTTTTTACTTGCCATCTTCTCTTTGTTGTCCAACCATATTGACATTACTTTTATGATGCTTGTTTTTTGTTCTGCAACTTAAAGTTAAATCTTCCATATATTAACTGTGGTCCTCAGAAGGGAAAACCACAAAGAATTTAACATTCTGATCATATAAACATTGTGCACAACATATCTAGTAATTGGTTAGATCTTTGGTAAGAGAAAAATTTTGTGGCACTAAGCATGTGCCCCTCTGGAAAGAATTGTACTGTGTTCAGATCAAATAGATTAGTTTTTCCTGTGAATGCTCAGAATTGTTCCACATGTAAATGGCTTTGTATTAGCCAGCTTTTTGTTTTCCTGAAGTTCTTAACTGCCTCTTTTTCCTGTTACAGAAGCTTCTAATGCATACTGTTTATTGTTGGTTAATTTTGAGAAGATTGCTTCCTACACCCACTCTACAGCTGTGATCTTAAAATTTATTTTTCTTCCCTGTCTAGGTCGAAAACACTGTTTCTTGGATTTCTCTTTCTTTTTTGGAACATAGTAAAGGACTGACAATATCTCTTTCCCTTTCC